TGTTTCATGCTTTATGTGCCAGATTTGTTATTGTGAAAAGTGCACTTAGTATGCATTCCAGCTATTTCTACAGGCACTCCACGCAAATCATTATGGAAACAAATAATTCAACAAATAGAATGTAACAGAATGATCAGTAGCACAGTACATATGTACAAATGCGTAACATACTAAGAAAATATACAAAATTTGAATGAACTTCAAAACTCATTTGAAATCATTTATTTGCACAGAAAATGAACCTCTATAACAAAATTACAACATATTGGCTTCTTTGGAATTAGTTGGTGCAATTTCTGAAGTACCCAGAATGCATTGCGGCCCCACCCATTTCACTTTTATTAACAATATCAGGTCTCTTTTTTTGTTTTTGTAATGAAAAATTTTCTTCATTGCAAATGAAACAAATGTAAACACAAATCAACGTTTTAGCTGTGTTTTATCATGTGAATAAAGTATAATTATGGAAAAGGTTGTACACTAGAATAAAATAATTATTAATGCAAATTTTGATCACAAGGAAAACACAGTCACCCACAACATAGATAAAGTTTACTTCCAGTAAAGTCACGGACATAATAATTGTGTCAAAAGTTTGCTACAATGAAGCAATTATGTCCTCATGTACATCCATTGCCACCTGGTACACCTCGCTACGTCCCTTTCCTTTCTTTTTGAGTTCTGAGCACACATAACGGACTGTTCCAGGATAAACCATGGCTTTCTTCTTGACATCGAGCTTATAAGTCATGTCTATCAAGTTATGTCTCAGGAAAAAATGGCCCTTCAAAACTGTGTTCCCTGCTTGAAATTGACAGCCATAGTCGTCGGTTTCCTCAGTGCTTAAAGTCACAAGGCTATCACTTATCACCCTCATTAGATAGTAGTCGTATGAGTCATCATCTTGTGCCGCAATGGCAATGATGCTGCCCTTATTGACGAGATCCGCAACATGTAGATGTAATGGCTGGGTCGGAGGGGCTTGATCATCTTGCGAGCGTGTTACTGCAGGGTATGCCTCTCGCTCTAAGTTGATGTTTTCAAAGTCATCTACAAGATCCTTATTCTTGCAAGAAGAATAATTTTCATAGAGGCATTCACCGCAGTAACAAGAGCGTTGCCTGACGAGGACCTTCAGTTGCTGAGGAGAAGTGAGCACTGAGTGCAATTTTCTAATGCCTTTGATGGCTTTCGGCGGCCATCTCGATTCCTGGGAACACCTTCTTCTCCTTCTGCTGGAACATAATAAAACAGTCTCCTCTTCAGGCTCACCGCAGTTGAACGGGACGGAAAAGAAGACTGGGCAGGCTTGGAGAAGTTTGCTGTTAAGTGGTCACATAGCTGCTTGGCATTTGTTATATCGGCTCTTCCACGTATAACAGCAAGTGTGGCTTGTTGTTTGACATGGGAGCCTGCAGCATCCTGTTCTCCTTTCGCATGGGATGTTTCGAAATAGTTAGGCTGAATCGGAAAACCAAAATCAGCTACACAGCAGGACAGGTCCCCAATGCAGTGCCTCGACTTGTATTGTGCAGCGCAGCCATCAGTGAACTCGTGCATTTTGTTAACGGTTACCTTAAGATCTTGGGTAAGGTATTTTGCTATGAGCCTCTGCGCATGATGCACAGAGTCGAAATCCTGCACTGGGTCGTCGCTGATCACGAAAACATGCTCCTTGAGGACACATGGATCCTCAGCGGTACTTTCCTTTCCATCAGCGTCCATAGTTGCATGGCGGAACATAACAGTGATATGGAGGCTTGCCTTGTTTACATCGAAATATTGGGACTGTATTTCATTTTGGCCTCTGCAGGAATAGCTCTCAGAGTAGTCATGAATACAAACTACATGGCCGAGAGGTAGATTTTCCAGTAGATCATCAAGCTGCTTTCTCTGCCAAACTGCCATGAACTGGTGCAGGGGGTAAGCTTCTAGCAGCTTAATGAAATACTGGAACAGTTCCTTTGGTGCTGTTTCCTGCTGTACAAGGGCAATCTTCTTCTGTTGATCCCCAGAAGAGGTCAGCTTTCCAGTGGCCACGTAGTCATAGCGTTTCCACTTGACTAATTCACTTCCAGAACTGTCCTCTGGTAAAAGCCGAAAGAGGTGTGTCCCACAGTTGTCACATGTTCTGTTTATGCAACCAAACTTGTGGAACTCACTTCCTTCGGGCTTTGGACACAAAGTCATCTCTACAGCCTCACTAAGGGACATTGGAAGAGGTGGATTGTCAGCATTAACAGCCTCTTTTAACAAATTCTTTCTGAACTTAACGCATTCGTTGAAGACCAGCCTTGCTTCCTCGTGTTTTCTACATAAGCAGGATCGTCTGTCCCTTTCTCTTGCTGCTTTCACAAAGTAGGGCTTCAAATGTTCAAATTTACGCTGTGAAATTTTGACTTCTGGATATTGAGCGCGGAAGTTGAAAAATGCTTCACTCTGTGTCTGTTCTAGCACATGCTTTGCATGCTCGAGGTACTGTTTAGGACCAATGCGCTTTCTGATGAGGTCTTTCTTATCCCCTGTGGGCCTACTTGCCTCATATGTCCAGAAATGGCATATTGTCTGCTTGATCTCTTCACTTACTGAGTCAATTCTGGGTTTCCTCTTGGTGAACAGCCAACTGGGTTCATCTCCCTTAAGGACTTCTGCTCTGCGCTTAATTCCCCGGCTGACAGAGCGTCTATCCAGCGAAACTAACTTTGAAACCGAGGACGTCAGCCTTTTCTTTTTCACTGTTTCCCCAAATGCCAATGATTTCATTGCGCCAAAAGCAGCTCTACTTTCGCTTTTTTTGTCATGCTTTAGGACTTCTATTGCACCACTCAGGTCACTGACCAACGCCCTTAACACCTCCGTCTCTTTTTCCTCTTCGGGAGATTTCACAACACCTTTCTTTTGAAGCGCTTTTCTTGTTCGAGGACTCTTTACAAGATTCTCAACAATTTCAACCTTTTTCTCCGGGGTCTGCGGTAAAACGTTTTTGGTTTGGTCTAAAGCCCTTTTTTTCGCCATACGGCTTTGGAATGATGAAGCGGGAGAAACTGACATGTCGTCCGTAAATTCATCTGCAGTGGCGGCCCGTTTCCGTTCTCGGTAATTCTTTGACCTTTCTCTACTTTGCACTCTTTTTCTTTCGACCCGCTCTTTTGACCTTTCCTTTTCTGCATCCCTTTTCTGGCGAAAATTTTTCACTCTTTCAGTGCTTGACTTTCCCGCATTATTTCCCGCCCTGAGACGCCTGTTTCGTGTTGCACGTGGTGTTTGTTGATCTGCCTTTCTCTTCTTTTTCTGGGCATGCTGTTCTGCAATTCTGGCCTTATTTTTTTCATAGAATGCTTTTCTGTACTTTCTTTTCTTCTCCTTTTGGTTTTCTCTCCATTTTCTCATTGATTCTGCTTTGTCTTCACGTTCCATCGGTAACCAGATTTCCTTACACGTTGATTATGCTAGTTGAGACAGATGATTTCAAGCTAAAACTCACGTGTAGAGAACGTTTCCTCACGTGTTTTTCACAAGTTGCATAACATTGACCTTCTAGAAGTTTCTTGGGTGGTTACCTAGGCTGTTGTGAAGCCTTCGGTCAGTGTTAAAGCGAGTGGAATGGCGATCGAAGATCGCGAAGTTGGTGCTTCTCTTTGAGATCGATGTTGCTGAATGTAACTTGAAACCTTCCATGAAACGTTTCAAAACGTTTGGTATTTAGTAAAATGCTTCTAGCGCACCCAATTTCTTATATTTTTCTATGAAAATTGCTATTTACAATCGTTGTGAGTTGAGAATGACACATGACAGAAAATCAGCAAGGTCAGTTTCATGCTTCGCGTGTGGAGACTGCTTGAATTTTGCGTTCCTTGCGAAAATCAGGTGTAAACATGGCGCGTTTCAAAGTGTTTGGTAATCAGAAATTTGCTTCGTTTTCCGGATGGTAAAGAGGAATTAGGCTAAAATTTCCAGGATTGACTGTTGAAAAGGTGAGAATTCCAGTTATTGAGGCTATTTTATCTTTGAAGCAATCTATTATGTTAAAATGTTGGGCGCATTTCTGATTTCGTGGATTGAAACGTACAGCGTGACGCTAGTACACTGGTTTAAGAAAGCTCATTTTTCTGAAAAACCGCTTTTTCTGGCAAAGTTTGACCTATACACCTGAAATCTATGAATAATTTTGATTTATAAGGATACTAGTTCTGCTCAAATCTACTACGGTTAAGACATGAAATGTTGCCAAAATGAAAATTTTCTGCGTGTGAATGTTACGCGTGACGGCCCGAATTATGCACATTTTGGTAAAAAAAAAAATTTCTAAAAAATTTAGAATTGAATAAATATCCATGATTTTGGGCGGATCTGTAGTTCAACATGTTGTTATTGTTTGTGCCAAGAGACAGCTTTGTAGCTGTAAACGTTGAGGAGATATTGCAATTTATATGTGCAAAATTTCGTTTGTACACGTGAACCGTGCTACTGATCAATTCAAAACCCCAACTGGCACTGGAGGCAACCATTAAAACTATTAACAATCAAGGCTGCGACTAAGAACAAATCAGGCAAGTGACCACAGCAGGACTTGAAACAAGGACTGCTAGATTGCAACTTGTCTG